AGCTCACCAAGCCCCCTAAGCAATAGCAGGCCATGCTAGCCTTAGCACTCTAGGGGTTGAAGGCCGGGGTCGTAGCTTAGCTCCTCCGAGTCGAGCGCAGCCATGACAAAAAAGAGGACAGCCTTTCCTTCCGGCCTTGCACGCTTGTAAGCCTTGGCTTCAGACCGTCCTGTCGAGGCCTTGCTTGTTCAGCCCCGCCTGCTGTTACCCTGACCTCAGGTACCCTTGGACCCGGAGCCCTCGGAAGTGCAGCCCACTCAGCCTTTCTCTAGCCTGTTTCTTGCCGAGCAAGCTGTTCAATCCGCATGCTCTTTGCTCCCCTGGGCTCAGGCTTCCCCTCTTTTCTGTTGGCAGGTTTGGTGCGCACTTCTCCCTCCTCGGACCGCCTCTCATGGAGCAGAGGATCAGGCGCAAGAGATACCTTCGCAACCCGGCAGGTCCCAAGCCCCGAAACCACCCTGGCGAGGAGCCGGGTCCACAAGACAGCCTTGACTTGCACACAGACACACGCAGTCCCCGGTCAGACATGCCTCTGGATGCCTCAGGTGCCACCCCAGAGGACACACACGCAGCAAGCCAGGCCTCTGCCCAAGCCCTGTCAGAAGACGAGCTTGACGCAGCTCTTCTGGATCTGTCTTCCCGCGCTCCCTCCTCAGCCACAGTGGCCATTCAGGATTCTGACAGCGAAGACCTGGAGAGCTGGTCTGTTTGCAGCCCCCAAGGTCAGGCCGCCAGCCGTGGCACCAGTGCATCGCACTTGCATAAATGGAGCATTCTGGCCCCAACAGGCGCTCCTAAGCAGGCCTCGCAACTTCTCATGCCCTGTGCGTTATTCAGGAGGCCGGCCTGTCCCCAGCCTTCACACTGGGCCTCTAGATCCGGAGCGCAGCCGCCGCTGCCTGGCCCAAGCCTGCTCCTCCGCAGCGGCCCAGAGCACGCAGCCTAGGGGGGCCATACCAAGTCTTGTCTTTGGAGGCAGCCAGAAAAGTGCCCTAGCGGGATTCAGCCGCTTTCAGACCTCCTTCAGTAAAGCCTGCTCCTCACTCACCCTTCTGCAGCCCTCCACCTGGGGCTCAGAGGCCGCCTAGGCCCAAGCAACACTTGGTTCAGCCGCCCTCGGCCAAGGCAGCCCTCAGCTCAGCCAGCCTGCTCTGGACCCAGATCCAGCATTCTTCCAAGCGCAGCCGAGCACACAGCCACAGCCGTACGCAAGTTTGCAGTCGGAACGCTCGAAACATACCTTCTTTCCCTCTGCCTCAGGTTCGTGGATTTCTGCCTCTGCGCAAGCCTTAATATAGCCACTCTCTCCCTGGCGGCCTTTGCAGACTACCTTCAAGCATGCTCCGAGTCACACCTGCAGGACCGCTCTTCGTGTAAGCTTGCGCCGAAGCAAGCCCTCAAAGCCTTGTTCTGGCTATCTCGTATAGCAGAGATCCCTTGTCTTAAGGACCTCCTCTCCAGACCGCTCATTGCAGCCTTCCGGGTGGACGGCGGTTTCAAGGACCGCAAGGAAGCATTGCCTCTGCCTTTGGCAGCCCTCTGCGCCCTGTGTGACCCATCCTGTCCCACACAGTTGGCGCTGCTACTGGGCGGCCTCCTTCTTGCAGCCCACGCCAGCCTCAGGTTGGGAGACCTTCAACGGATCAGCCTCGACACCCTCAGCCTCACAGCCTCGGCCCTCAGAGGCATTTGTTGGGCCACAAAGACCTCCTCCACGGGTCAGCCTTTTGCAGTCACCCTCACCGGCATTACGGGTAGAGACATTGCCTCTGCTTGGGTCCTGCACTGGCTCAGGCATCTCCAAGCCTCCTGGCAGGCCACCGAGGCAGACCTATGGACAGCCTTGTGCCCAGACTTTATTCTGCTTATCCTGCCTCAACTCAGCAGCCTCAAGCCTCGAGCCAGACAAGCTAGCTAAACTGGCAGCACAAATACAAGCCCTGCTGGACGGCAAGAAGGCAGATAAAAAAGCCCTACAGTCCTGCCTCGGCCTGCTCAACTGGGCGACATCTATCAGCCACCACCTCAGGTCCTACACAGCACCCTTGTACTCCGACCTCAACAGCTCTCCAGGCACTCTCTACAATATCCACGCCCGCGTGTGGCAGCGCTTCCTTTTCAGCCTGGACAACAGGGCAGTGGTCATCAGACCGGTGCCCGGCCTCCACATCTCAGCCTCCGCCAGAGTCATCGAGGTGGGTAGCCTCAGGGTGCGCCGGAAGTCAGACGTGCCCTTACTTCCTAACTCAGACAAGCCTACCTGGGTCCGTATTGCGGACCCCACAGCCACCGAGATAGTCCTTACCAAAAGCAGCAAGGAAGCCTTAGCCTGGCTCCTCTCGTGCGTGCAGTCCACTTCTACCAAGCCCCTCTCATCCGCATCTTCTGCACTGCATGTCAGCAGCAGACGCAATGGCAGAAGGGGAGATCGTGGGAATAGGCGGGTGGCTGTGCACCAAGGATGGTCTTCACTGGTTTTCGGAAATCTGGACCATGGCCCAGATTAGGGAGGTCTGGCCCCAGCTGCGCAAGGACGCCCAAAAGTACACAGCCTGTTTTGAGACCTGAGCCCAATTAGCCCTCCTGCAGATGGCGCACAGCCGGTTAGGTCATAAGCCTTTCTTTCGCCATGCCCGCTGGCTCAGACACACCCACGGAGGCGGGCGTGAACAAACTCTTCTCCACAGCCTGGCTCTTCCTCCGCCTTGTGGCCTCCTGGTCGATGCTCACTCAGTCGCCCTGCTGGTCTCCCACATCTCCGGCAAGAAGAACGTTTGGTCAGATGAGCTTAGCAGAGACAAGCTAGATAGATTTTCGGTCTGGGCCCTTAGCCCGCTTCAGCTTCTCCCTCAGAGAACTCTGCCAGCCAGAGGGCATCACACTGCATCCCTCGCAAGCCAGATGGAGGGAGAACTTTCCAGAGGCATCCGTCGCACCTCTGACGCGAGTACAGGCAAAACATTGCACAGCTCGTGGCCTTTTTGCAGCCCGCTTCCAGCACATGTGCTGTTGCATTTTTGAAGCCTTTTCTGGGCTCAGTGCTCTTCAGACGTGGCGCAACCACAGAGCCCCTCTTGCACAGTGGCCCTCAGCCTTGGATGAAAACGGTAAAATTGCCATTTGGGCCCAACAAACTTTACAAGCGAGACCCCCATGGAGAGTTCTGTGGACTTGCACTGCTTCTAGGTTCAAAGCTAGCCACAAAAACAGCAGCAGCGGTTCGCACCTTTTCTCTTAGGTTGCTCTGAGTGTGTAGCAAAGGAGGGCTTGAAAGGCTGCAGGCTCAGCCTGGGCATCTTTCGTTCCACCTCCTTGTGAAAAGCCAAAGAAAACAAGAGGCTCTGGGCTGAACTGAAGGTTCAGGCTTTTTGTGAGACTTAGGTAGAAACTGAGTACTGCGGGCTCAGACTGACCTAGGGGGTCAGGCTTGCAGTAGCACCAACGCGTAGCACAGTTGGTGCAGTAATGAGGCCCTGGCGAGGGCTTGGTGTGAGCACTGTGGGGCTCACAGGCCTGAAGCCAGCGGGCTTAGAAAGCTCTTTGTTAGGCTGGCCTGGGAGGTCTGCTCAGGCGGCGGGCTCAGAGCAGGAAGTGTGAAACTAAAGCAAAGCTGAAGGCTGAGGCTGGCTCACCATGAACTCGAACCTGGGCGGCAAGGCTTTAGGCTTGTTCATTAGCAGAGAGGGCGGCTAACAAACTTTTACGAGTGGAAGGCATTCTACTAGGGCTGTTTAAGTAGGGCTGGTTTTGACCTGGGAGCATATAGGTCATAGGTGGCAGTGGACGCACATGAGATTGAAAAGACCTCACAAAACACAAGAGACCAAAATAA